CTTTCGTTAATCTTATATTTTTTTTTTATAAAATACCTTTTTTCAAAGCAATTTTTTAATTTTATTTTAAAACACATTTTTTCACTATGTATTGGTTTTCCCCAAAGAAATAAGTTTTTCCCCCGTAAATAATTTTTCCATGAATAAGATTTTATAATTTTCGTATCCAATATTTCCTTTAAAAAAAATTCTAAAAAATCTTAAAAAAAAAATTGTTTCCTCTAAAATAATTTTTTGTCAAATCGACTTGTTTCTCATACTATTTATCCTCAAGAATTATTACTTTTTAATATTTCTACTAAAAATAATATTTCCCGACATACATTTATCGGAAAAATAATTTTTTTCTCTAAAAAAATTTTAGGGCCAATGTTTGGTGAATTTTTATATTAATTTGGGTAAAGATATTTCTTCCCAAAAACTATGTTTTTTTTCAAACTGTGTTTTTATTGTAAAATTTATTTTTTCTTGAAACAATTTTTTCCTAAAAGCTACTTTTTTCCCATACATTTGTATCATCAAGTATTATTGTTTTTTTTTTTTAATTTATTACCAAACAAAATTTTATTTTTTTAAGGTTAACATATTTCTTTCCCAAAAAACTGTGTTTTTTCCCCAAATTTGGATTTAATCGTAAAAGTTATTTTTTCTTAGAAAAAAAAAATATCAAAAAATATTACCTACTTTGAAAAATTTATTTTTTCACATTTTTTTTTTTATAAAAGCCGATTAGTGAGAAAAAATATTTCCCTTGGTCATGAAAGGCTTAATAAAAAATTACAAAAGATTTGTTTTTTTTTTTAATTTTTCCGTGTTAAGATTTGAATTTTTTTCATCAAAATTAAAATATCTTGGCAAAATTACCTCATCTGGGAAAACGGTATACATATCCATAATCTACGAGAAATATTAAGTATTATTTTAAAACTTGAGTTTTTCCCCACAGTGTCACAAAGAGAATTATTTGAAACTTCTAATTTAGTGGCAAAGCGCAGTCAAAGTTTGATAAATTCATATAGATAGTTTACAATAAAACGGATTGAAATGCACGCTTGTTCGACATTTTTGGAAGGTTTATATATCTGCTAAACTGAATATATTCTCCTTATCAATTGTATGATGAAATCTCCAAAAACGGTTAGTTTGGATTAACGTTTGCATATGTTATTTAAAATTCGGTTTATTGTCACACGATATGGTGTGGAATACCGTAATGTAGCAGAAATGCTTAGTAGGTTATACCCTGCTACAAAATTTTGAAAAGACGATCTGGCAGAGTATTATTTTATCACTAAATATTCCAGAACTGCAAGCGAACTAGTGCCAAATAGATACAGAGCAGACAGTAATAACAGACTTTTCGCTAAAAAGATATTGTTCCATAACTGTACCAGACGGAATCAGTTCAGAACGCATTCAAAAGTTCTGCAAAGACAGCTAACACTTCGCAGAATATATCCATATAAAAAAAAAAAAAAACTTTCAAGCATTGAATTCGCAACAGTATCGTCCTTGTTAAAAGCTGACTCGGCGCGCTTTCTTTACCAGTTTAATTTCCAGCAGGATACTCGACACAGCAGATCATTGTCCGGCGGCTGTTTAGCACACCAACTGTAACTTAGTGACACATACATACATATGTACATCGTAACAAATACGTGTACATAAAGTGGCCTTTTTAAATCGCTTGGCTGTAGGCGAGCTAGAGCTGTAAAAATGACTGTTTTTTTTGCCCAAAAGAGAAAGCAAGATGTGCTTATTCTCTCAAATGTGTGCTTTTCTATATTTGTGTACCTACAAGTATGTATCTAAAAACATGGAATACAGTTTTCATAAACGAAGTGAGCTAACTAGGAAAACGCAAAAAGTGTGGTGAAAGCGAGAATTATAATGCATCATTTACACACATTTACATACACACACACATTTTCAAATGAACGATGTTCGGAATTTGTCTTTAAAATTTTAAAGATTTACTCAACTAAGGAACTGGGCAATTTCTTTGATTACAAGCAGAAACGGGAGTCTAGCTTTTAGGACTTTCCCATTTGCTTCGAATTGGGATTCCTGTTGAAAACGTCTTAACATAGCAGAATCTAGGAGCAATAAGTATCTGAATTCAACTCGCCTCTACATTGACTGGAGTTTTTCGCAAGAAGGTCCGAGAGGCCTTCAGGACAAGACCCACGGCTATTGGACATAGTTTTGTCACCGTACTGAGAGCCCGAAGAAAAAATAGGCTTTACATCAGCTGATGCGCTGTATGCGAGACCATCATTTGCCCATACCTTTTTTTCTATATTACGCCTCCGGTAAAGCTCCATTTCCAGAAAATGAATATATTCATGATCAGCATGAAAAGAGAAATCGATTAAGCGGTGACTGTCTGTCTGTCCGTCCGTCCGTCCGTCCGTCTGTCCGTCCGTCTGTGTACACGATAACTCGAGTAAAAATTAAGATACGTGGTACGTGTACTTCTTTCGGGCGTAGGACGGATGGTATTGAAAATGGGCAAAATCGGACAATAACCACGCCTACCTCCCATATAACGGTAATTTTCAGAAATATAAAAACTGCGATATTTTAGTAACTACTGAAGATAATTCACTCAAAATTGATATTTATAATAAATTTTAGACGAAAAATAAGAATATTAACACTTATGGTTACATGTGTATATCTTGCTGCATCAATTTATTCCAAACTTGGCACTGTTGTTGGCCCTGGTACAGCATACCAAATGGCCGCAAATTTTTAAAATCGGACAATAACCACGCCCACATCCCATATAACGGTAATTTGGAGATATACGAAATCCTCGATAAATCAGTAAATATTAAAGCTAATTTATTCAAAATGATGGTTGCAGCAATTCTTTGCCAGGAAATACGTTTATGATAAAAGTTTGGAAAATGGGCGTGGCACCGCCCACTTATGATCACTTATATGTATCTCGCTAACCGTTCTAGCAATTTGTACCAAACTCGGTATGGTTATTGTGCTTGCCACATAAAAGTAAACCATTGAAAATTGTTGAAATCGGACTAAAATTACGGCCGCTTTTCATATAACGGTAAATTTCAGAAATGCTTGAAATTTCAATATTTTGAAATTTAAGGACGCTAGTTTACTCAAAATTTATACACGCCGGCTTATCATGTAGCGGTAGCTTTCGGATAGATGGAAAACATATATTTAATACTTGCGCCGGGTATTTAATGTTCGGCTCCGCCCGAACTTAGACTTTCTTACTTGTTTTTTTAAAGAAAAGAGAAGAAAGAAAAAATATTACAAAAGATTTGTTATTTGCATGTTTTTTTTTTCCATGTTAAAGTTAGGATTTTTTCATAGGAATGAAAATATCTGGATCTGGAAAAATAGTATACAGATCCATAATCTAAAACCCAATATTAAGCTTACGTGTTTCGGCGTGCTTTGTGTCATTTAAAACTTGCAATTTTGTTATTGTGTTATTATTTATATTTTTTATGTATGTATGTAATTGTAGCGACTGAACTTAATCCGGGTCGACTGCAGTTAATTCCCGAAATAACTCTGGATTAGCTACTGATCCGGATCAACGCTGCCTTCTGCCTATGCTTTAACACCCCTGGCCTTTTGTCTTTTGGGCCTAACGATGCTAAAAGGAAGAGACACATAGAATGGTCGAGTATTTAACAAATTCTGAATCCCTTCTATCCTTTGACATGAAAAGCAATAATAAAGTCGCAGTATCCCCTAGCAACAGTTTAATTAAAAATAATAACTTCATAGTAAAAACTTAAATATTGCGAAAAGTAACAGTCCGCAAATAAAATTAACTGTACACACACAATCAACGCACACCCACATACACATCATTAATGCGTATAAGTAAATATTTCACAGATCAAAAAGAGAAATGCAACCTACAGAGCAAATTTAATTGGCATCCACACATTTCGAGCAACAGCCACTTCGACTTCAACCCCAACCAACTACAAAGATGCTTCCACAGTTGACTAAGTAAAATGAATTTTAAAATAGATACTCACAAATATTGTAGAAAATGTCAGCGGCGTCAACAGTACAGAGTGTTGCTAATTTACGTAATTATCTTATCCTTAGTTATCCCTTTTAATGACTAAATAAGTTCGAATTACTTTTATGCTTGGAAAAAGAGATAAACAAATTAAAGCTTGTGGCACAGCAAAGAGAAGACCAACAGCAGTAAAGGACAGCCAAAAGAGTAGAATAATATTATGCACATGGAGTACACTGAAATAAAAAACGAAAAAGAAAAAAAAAACGACTGAACTAAAAACAAATAAAACCAAAGATAAATGGTTTAATTTCTAAAATACACTGGAATGCGCAAATGCTTGCTGTTGCTAATGTTGTTGCCGCATTTGTTGTTTAATGTTCATCCTTTTAATTCTTGATATAGCCACAATCGCATTGCCCACAGCAAAACAGACAGCGGAGATATATGTATGTATGTATAAAAACAACCACAACTACTTGACGACAAACATTTCGAAGTAATCGCATTTGCTCAGCATAATAATGTATGGCAAATAGCAGCTCAACCAGAAACGGCAACAAGAAGAAGAAGAAGAACAACAATAACACCATTGCACCATAACAATGTTAATAAAGAAAATGGTGTGAAACCATCAACGTGCCAGGCAAGTGTCAGCGCATAAAAAGCAAAAGGTGCTAAGATTACTTAGTTTATTGAGGTGCGCAGAGGTGAACTGGAAGCCTGAACACTGCAACGGAGTTGATGAGTTGACCAGTGCGTTGCGAGTTGAAGTTCTACATATATACATACATAGATGTAGCTCAGGTTGCTGACGTTTTGATCAACGCAATAAATAAGTTAAGTAAAAAAGGTGACAGAGGAGAGGCCATCACTGAGTCAGCTTAGTTGGTGCTTGGGATTACACCGGAAAGTAGTAGGTACGGGAGTAAGCTTTTAGCTACACTCTAAAAAATGTTTGTTTAAATTTTCTCATATTTAGATAGATAACCAGTTTCATCTCTTAATGAATGCAAATTTACACACCGTGTTAATTAAGTTAAACACTGCTCGCTTACTGTTAAATAGTTATGTGTGACGTAAAACAAATTTAAAATTGGTTTATTGAATTCTAAACATTTATTGTTCACAATATCACATAAAACTTTAAAATTTGCGCTAAAAAATTTTTGTTTAAATTTACGCATACAAAGAATAGCAACCAGTTTATTCTCCTAATGTGTGCAAAATCAAACACTGTCTGTTTACTTTCACATACCAAATTTGTCTCGTAGAGCAAAATTACACACAAAATGGTTCAAATTGTGTAAATATGATCAGTTAATGTTTATTATTAGTAGAAAAGGTATTTCTGCTTTCAAAATGTTTGCAATTTTAAACATTTCATGTGTATATTTATGATTGTAGTTTAAACATCTCATTTCAATCAAATCTTGAACATCTTGGGCGTATATTTACACAGATTCTTTTTGAGAAATAGGCATTTTTCAGTAGTACTTTTACATGCACTTTTTAGAGTGTAGCTAGGGAATAATATTTTAAGTGAAAAAATGCTTCATTAAATTAATATAGAGTGAATGGTGTATGATAACCCATTTTCGAAAACTCACATTTATTCCATTCAAAATAATTTTTATTGGCTCTGAGTAGTTGATAACAGCATTGTACTTATTTACGACTATTCTAATTAACAATGGCCTTTCATGTGTCCCAAATTTTTTCGCACAACCAAATTTGATACTAAATCTAACATACATAAAGGGGTTTCCATTTTTAACTGACTTCAAAAAAGGAGAAAGTTATCAATTCGTCGGAATATTTTTTTGAATGTTATCGCATAACTTTGGACCACGTGAACCGATTTCTATAATTCTTTTTTTTTAAGAAAGGTGGTACCTCCGAAATGGTCCCATACTAATTTCGTTTAGATCCGATCATTGGGTCATGCAAGTTTCAGGTCTGGAAGAATTAGAGGTTTGATGTCTGAGGACAAATTTATTTTTTAAGTTGTGTCTGTAGTAGATAGTTGGAGCGAACTAAAATGCTCACACGACCTAGGTCGGCCAGTTCTTAAACGACGGACGTGAAACGTGTTTTTGTTTTAATTTACTTCAACTGGAACCAGCAACTTTCTCCGACCTTGCGTTAGGTTTAAATGAATCTTTCGAATACTCTAAATAGAATCTCTTCAGGAATCTACGGCAATATGAATTTTGTTTCGCCGACACAAATATTGACTTCCAAGTTGCTTTTTCTTTAGCCAAACTCATTTGCTCGGCGCCTAAACGAATATCCAGGCCCAAGTGGTGGGCCTGAAGCAAAATAAAGCAAAATAAAGTATGTTGGCAGGAATATGAAGCCTTTAACAGAAATCAGGAGAGTCCAAGCATTGACCAGACTGTCATAGCTTTGACTAGAATTGTGAGGCTATTACTGAAGAACTTTAATCAAATAAGTCTCCGGTGATCTTCTCATCGATTCGCGAAGAGACTGGTGCTAAATGGAGCAGAAGCTCTCGCGGGTATTTTACCTATTCAATTTCCCGACTGTACCAATGCTTCCGAGGACTCATCGAAAATTTTAAAGTCCTAGAATGGGTACAGATATTCTGTGTGGTTTTACAAAAAGGAAAGAATGCCGTACTGTCACCTCAGCTTCTTAATACACATATAGTTTTTTATAATTGCCTTAAATTATCTTCCAAATATTTGGTTGGGTTCTAACTGAACTCTGGTAACATCAACCAATTTTATCCTAAGAATTATGGGCCTACATATACATACGTCTCACCTCGTTTATGAAGACACATAAGCTTCGACAATCTCTATAGAGGCGTTAAACCAGCGGCTTATCAATGGGTCTAAAATCTTTCAAATTTTCCACGGAGTCAGTAAGAAGTCTCGAATAAGCCAAGCGGAGGCACCTATTGACTTATTTTACACAGAATAAAATATTTATTGTACAAAATTTAGATGCGTGTGAAAAGCATTTAAATCATCTGCTTTTAAATAATTAAAATAAGCATTCAGTATCTATTGAATACTTATTACTAGGTGTATTTCTAAAATCAGGGCATGATTTACAATAATCATATGTACATACATACAAATCGCATTTAAAACAACCGAGGTTTCCAACAGCATGCCAATAAAAAATTTCAAAACTCTTTCGTACAATTCCTCTTCACTTTTTTCCTGCTGGGCAAAGTTTGGCTGAACTATGTTAAATGAAGAAACGTTGCCTCTAAACAAATTACCATTTTAATTAGGCGAAAGAGCGCAAAGTTACAGTAGCATAACAAAAACAAATTCCTCTAAAATGAACAGAAAATGAAGCTTACAAAAATAAGTGTGAAACAACGAATGTAGAATTGTACAAAAAAAAAAGAATTAATAATAACATATAATATAGCAAAAAAGTTATAAAACAAGACAAATCACCAAACTGGTCAACGTCTGACTCCAGCGAGATAACAACAATGAAGCACAAATGGTGCTACTAAGCAGTTTATGTTTATTACGTACTTATGTATGTGTTGTACATTAGATTGCCTCTATGCATAGAAGAGGCCAACTCTCCTTGCGAGAGCAAACACCCATTGTCGAGTATATAGTTAATGCGTAATTTTCCATCCAGAAATTAGCAGATGAAATTGAAAAGAAAGGAAAGCAAAGCTTATAAACAGGGTTGCCAATTTTGTAAATTATTACCAAAATTGGTAGAAAATATTTGGGTTGATAAAAAGCTAATTTTTTCCATTTTGGTAGATTTTCGGTAAAGTGTTTTCTTTTAAAAACGAATAAAATTAAAAAAAAATGGACAGGTATCTAATAACATAGATACACTGATTATATATGTAAATATAAAAGAAATAAAAACACAAAAGACTGGCGGCAAAAAAAAAACTAAAAAAGTAACGGGAATTTTTAGCTGTATTTTGTTGCTTATACTTAAATTCCTTGAGCTATAAAACTGCATACCCAAATACGTACAAAAAGTTCTGAGTAAAAAGTTCGAAACTTAGACGACAATTTTTTGTAATTTTTCTAAATATTGTAACTAGCTTGTGTCCTTGATTTTTATGGGGTTGGTTAAAGTGCAAACAACATTTTTATGCGAAAAAAAAACAAAAAATTTTTTACTTGAAAAACATTGTGAATATGTAAGTTACTTATTAAAAAATTTTAGCTTTTATTGATGTAACCAAAAAAATAGAGAAAAACTATAGTTTTTATTCAAATAACTAAAAAAAAAATATTTTGTTTGTCAGTAGCAACCCTGCCACTAGGGAGTGTGAAAATAAAATTGCACGGTCAAGTAAAGCTAAGTGTCAGCCGATTTTTCTCTACTCACGGCTTAAAACAAAAAAATAGGGAAATGAGTCAAATGGCATGGTTTATGTTTGTTAAAAAGATATACAATTGTGTTCGATGACAGTTAAGTCAAGTCAAGTCAAGTTAAGTCAGATGAAGTTAAGTTATTCAATAGAGTATTTTATGGTTGTTTTGCTGAATAAAAATTATAACCACATAACTAGATAACCTCTTGAGCAGGCAGATGTAAGCAACCTTATTGTATCTACTTTAAGATCTTTCTTTTTTAGTTGAATTTGCTAGGGAGTACTTACCTTTAATATATCTTCGATGAATCGATCGTAAAGAAACGCGTTCAACTGAAAACAAAAAAGACAAAAAATGTATATAAAAATAATATGAACCACTTTCGTCTGTGTTGAATTTTCACGGCTGCTCTCCCTGCCACAATTATCTTTTCCTCTCTGTTGCATTTTGAAGTCCTTCCACAATTCAATTTTCAACATTTTCACGCAAATACAATTATTTTGCTTTGCTGCTTGCTTTCATGTTCACCAAACTATGAATGAGTATGGAAGTGCTATTACTTTGTTGTTATTCCTGTGCTTCTCGCCAATGCAATGCAAAGCAACGCAACGAACGGCTGGATCTTCATTGTGAGTGCACTTAAAGTTTCGTATGTATACGCAATAGTGCACAAACTGTCGACATTGGAAAGAGTAAAAACGAAGTAAAAAAAATATATGTATTACAAAAATAAAGACATATTAATGCGAGTTGCAAAAATTTTATATTGTTGCTCTTGGAAAGTTCTTCGGTATTTAGTTGCTGTTGCTGCTTAAGCGTAGCTTGTAACTCGCTTGTTGGCAGCTTAAAGTGACATAAATCACGGAAAAGTGTCGAAAAAATATTTGATCCAGTCAAGAGTGACAAAGAAATGTGAGATAGTAAAAAATGATGTTTGGAAAACTTTTGATACTACAGTTAAAATGCAGAATTTAACGGGATTTACCTGTCAACACTTTACGTTGCCGATAATGAGCGAAAGTTTCGATGGCTTGTTCTCTTCTGCCACGTTTAGCTTGAACTTCATTGTACAGCACAATTTAATAGGAAAGTGTATCGAGTGGACGCAAAAATTTTATTCAATGAAAGTCACTTATATTTATATATGAGATATTCTTTCTAAACGTTGCCATCCCCTACACATTTTTCTTTTAATTTAATTTTTTTTTAATTCGTAAAGAACTCAAGCTTACCAGTGCCGAGTGGCAAAATGACTTCAGGGCTCAATTTCATCGTCATCTCAAGCTCAACGTTGGTTTTTTAACTTACAATCCCCAATTTTTATCTTGATTTCAGATACAACGGGCAATTCTACGTTCAGGCACCATATCACATGTTGGGTCAATTTGCCCCTCAATATCAAAGACATAATAAAGTCGTTCTTCCTTTTCAATATTTTAATCATCAAGTTAATCCATTTAATATCTGAATGTAAATATCTAAAGTTTAATAAGAAATAATAAAATTTGTATCCCTGTGTAAAAAAAGATGTTATGAGCGAAATCATACAAAAATTGCTACATGTCAAATATTCGACACTAATTCAGCTCATTTAAAGCTATTTTAAGTTAGAACACAAAAAAAAATAATTACAAAATGTTTCTTTTGGAAGTCAATTTAAAGGTCTGATTGAATGAGAAGTTTCCTTGTCCTCAAAACCGACATTCAAAAGTAAAATTTTTGAACTTTTTTCTTTATTTTCTTTTTTTTGGAAAATAAAATTTAATACGTTATTCTTTTTTTGCGACCATGGCAATGGATTGCTTATCTCAGGGACAGTACAAATATGAATTTAAAGCCTTTTAAAAAACAGCATTGCATACTAGTTTCTGAAAAAAAGTAAAACATATTTTTGAAGGAGATTTTTAAAATCGCACATGGTTTGCTCACGTTGCCAAGAGTGCTCGAACGGAGACGCAGGAGTCGGAGTTCAGTATAGTTTTGCAATTAAAACTGGATTTCAGAAGAAGTCACTCTCATCGTGATAAATCTTTCGAAAAAAGGAGCAAAATATTTAACAAAATATGCTTGAACATGGTAAGAATTATCTAGTGTCAGATGCAGCTGACAAATATATTGAATACCAATAATCACCAATATGTGCAATATTTGAAAGAAATAAAAAAATCGGACGGGTTTACTTTTCTGTGGAATCGACTATATGTATAATGACTAGGGTGATTGAATCGGTTTTTCTAAACCGATTACCATTGGGGTTTTTTTTTGGTATCTATAGGCGCTTTTTTTTAATCTCTTGGCGAGAGGGGACGGTTTCTCTGCAAACCAAGCTTGACAAAGGATGACGGAAATTCGGTCCCAAATAAATTATTTTGCCACCCTGTCGGAAAAATCAGCCAAGACCAACACATGAAAAAAACCTTTACCCCAAAGCCCTGGAAAAAATCCAATAAAGCATTAAGAACGTTAAAATAAGACGTAACGTGAATTTTCTCATATTTTTTTTTTTGTTTACCTTTGATCTAAAAAAAACTTAAAACTTATTTTGCTTTGCTCTTTTCTAAATATAAGCTATCTTTGGTGTTAATGGATTTATTGTAATTTTTGTTCAGGACTTCATACCAGCATAAGAATTTTCACTGTATGGAAACTGTGTAAAACAAAACCGGTTTATCTGGTTTTTTTCTTAATTTGAAAATCGGGAACCAGGTCTTTTTAAATTAAATTTTTCAAAGAACCCGAAAACCGGTTTTGAAAAAGGCAAATAACTGAACACCTTAATAATGACTCTATGACACAAAAAACTTAAATTCAATAGTTATTATAAAGAATTAAAAGAAAATATTTGAGACTTTTTTATAATGCATGTCTACTGAAAAAACATTTAATTTTAAAGCGCAACGAAATCTTAAATTTGTTAGGAAAACTTTCGTACTACAACCGGAAGAGAAATTGCGCAAGGAAAAAGGCAGTGCATACAAGTTTGCTGATTATAATTTGAACAAATGTATGTATGTATGTATGTTCTCATTATGTTTAAAGCATCAGCCATTAACAACTAACTTCTCGTTCTATACTGAGCTGTAACATCTGCTACAACAACATTCGCTATTCAAACAAGACAATCCGCAACTTAAGTACACCTTTCTGTAGGCAACTCGCTTGCTCATTTTCCTTTCTCACACTGCTGCGATGTTTAATTTTTGTTTGTGTTCACTTTGGGTTGCTCTTGCTGCTCTTACTGTAGTATCATAGCCGCTGGGCCGAAGGTATTGTGTGATGTTTATTATTTCATTTACAGCTAACCGCTTTGTAGCGCTCGACGCCAACCCTAACCTACCTAATGCAAATACAATAGCAACGATAACAACAGCACAGCACAACAAACCGAGCAAACAATGTTTTAATACGAGTACAACTAATTCATAATTGCGTACTGTTGTTTTGCTAATGCCTGCTGTAACCGCTCGCTCCCCTTCTGTGCTACCACCTAATTAACTATGTAGTTATCCTTCCCATTGTTCGCTCGCTTTCTTAGCTATTTTTTATTTGCTGTGTTTTTTGTTAAGTTTCACAAAACTGCGATTTGCAGTACCTTCGCAACACACAGCGTATGCTGTCGGTCGTAACTGTCATTGTAAGTTGTTAGCTAGTAGTTGCCTGCGAAATTTCATTAAATTGTAATTAGCCAACATATTTATTGTACGGTATTGTGCGGGTTGTGGCATAGCACAGGAAGCATAGAAAAAACACTGAAAAGCTGGCAAAGCGCATCATTTGAAATAAAAATTAAAATATAGGAAAAATTTATACAAATTAAAATGTTGCACTGTTGTTTCATTTTGAAACGGAAATAATGAGGCGCACCAGCGCGAGCTTAATGAAATTTTAAGCAAAAAAAAATATATATATATGGACGAAAATTAAAACAGAATACCAAAAAAAAATTTAAAAATTTTAAATATTGCACCTTACCAACGAATGTGTAAAAAAAAAATTGTTTATACTATCGATTGCTACGAACAAGAAATTTTCGGTACTTTTCATAAATAAATAACCAAATAACCAAAACTTTTTTACCATTGGTAAACCAGTGTTGTCGCGAATCATTTTTAGTGGTAGCCAAATTCCTTTTAAAAAGGGCTAAAAAGAGCCTTGTGGCTAAAAATGGTAGCTAAATTTTTTAACTTACATACATACATACATATGTATAAAAAATGGCACATACACGACCCCAGCTTGCTGGCACTATCAAGAGATTGTACCATCAGGGTCGAGGCCACGGTTGCCGTTTTGATCTAAATGGACCAAATTTGGTCCATTTTATTTCGTTTGGTCCATTGGTCCAATTCTTTTTAATATGGTCCATTTCACAAGCCTTTGGTTAGGTTATTTTATCACCCTTACATTTCATGCAATAGTTTCGCGTTTTCAATTTTTTCTATTTAATAGATGAATATTTCGCACTATGTTGAATGTCGTCATCGTCAGTAAAAGTGACGATACGGCCATCGTGAGCCATGTCACTGATGCGCTGACAATCGTCGACAATGACGATGACGATATTCAGCATAGGGCCGATTGGCAACACATGCTGAAAGTGTGAACTCGCCTTGCCACTGAAAATCAAATTTGGCATGGCTAATCATCTGTCAAAGCACGCTTCAAAAAATATCGCGGTTTCTTGCTAATTTCAATTTCTCGGTGACCAATATTAAAGTTGCTGGCAAAAATATGGAAAGGTACCAAAACTTTTTTATAATAGCATTTAGCTCATTGAAATAATATTCGATTTCAATCTAAAAGATATTAAGTATCTTGAAATTATTACACCACATAAAGTTCTTTCTGATACTGATGTACATATGTATCAATTTTGCCGCTACTCGACCAATTTCCTGCATGATTGAATTTCAATTTCGCAAATTGAGGCTGAGTGAGCGGCAACTTCAAAAACTGTACCAATAAAGAACGTTTTTGGTTTCAAGTAAGTTTGATTAAAAATGCATTGGGTAAATTTGGAGAATTGTGTGATTTAGTTCATAACATTTTTAGTCTGGCTCGCAGTTCCGCAGCAGCTGAGCGCAAATTTTTTGATTTAGATAAAAACGAAATTAAGAAGCAAATTATAATTTAAAACTTTAAATAGTATAATGTTAATAATATATAATTGTAATGCACTTTGGATGCAATATAAAAAAAAATCGTTATAAAAATTTAATTGGCATATTTTCTTGATAAAGAGGAGTAAACTCCACTCAATTTCCCGATGTAATAAAAATTGGTAAATTTTTTACCATTTGGTCCATTTTTTGGACCGAAAAATAAATTGAAAATGGCAACCGTGGTCGAGGTATATAACATACCAGCATCCTGGTACAATATTTATTTCTTTACAAATAAGGCCCAGAAAAGAGCGAAATGATTAGAGCCGAAATTTCATAATTTTTTCACAAACACGCCTTTGACTCATATAGTATATAGTGCAAGAAATTTCCGGTAAAATACTTTTTACTTAAAAAATTAGCTAATTTCACCACTCATAACATCAGCACGCTGGTACAATCATAAAATTTTCAAATCGTTTTTGATGTCGCACTCGCAGCTTGTACAATCACACCGCAAGAACATACCCGGTCAATCGGCTCGCACCAACACTTGATTTCGCCAGCATGCTGGAATCATCTATGGGCCCTTTAACAAATTAAGCATAAATATTAGGGCTGTTTTAAAGTATAGTTAAATCGCTAATAGATAAGGCCCTAACCCTTTTATAGTTTGTGTAAAAACGTAAGAAACAAAAATACATATATACACACATAGTGTCTTTCTTAGATTAAAAATTCATCTCTTACGTAAATGAAAAAATTAGATCAAATTAAGCATACCGTCATTCTGCAAAACCGGGTAATTGAAATTTGCTACCAAAAATAGGATTTGCTCACACAAGCTCTTGGCCCAATCCTTATCCACTCGTCCTGAAATATTCTAGCCAGAAATGCGATTGCTTTATAAAAAAAAGAACCATTTTGAAATATGAGTGTTTTTAAGCTCTAGAAAATAATTTCTACAAGTTCACATACGCGGTTTTGCATTTTGTTGATACGCGGTTTTGTACTTTAAACGACGATATGTCAATTTTTCATGTCAAGGATGAATATATTTTCCAAAGACCTAAAAAAGAGTTAGTGGCAATTTTAAATTTATGTGGCCAAAAAAAGTATGTGGTAGCTAAATCTAGTCACCAATCGGCAACACTGCTCGCAACACGAAGATCAGATTTTATGTTGCTCAACATTTTATTATGTTAATCAACATTAAATTCAACAGAATTTCCCGCTGTGAGAAGCGTTTCTACATTCCGTGGGGTAAGTTTTTCAACGATGTTAATTTTTCGGCCACGAATAGTTTCGACTTTCAATTTACACCTTCTCTATCAATCTAAGTTCTCTGCCACCACTCTACGTATATAAAAGCTCTCAAACTGATCACAGTTTGTGTGTAATATTTTACTAATTTAACAAACACTGTTGGCTGTAAGCATTTCCGACTCGCTCCTAAATTCATGCCACGAAACTAAATTAACTTTTGTGTTAAGTGATGATTTATAAGGGGGATATCAATTAGGATGAAATAAAGGGGGACCAATAACAAACTCTACTGATGCAAAGCTTCTAACACGCATAAATA